GGGAAGAGGAGGGAGGGGCAGGGAGAGGGAGGAAAAGGCAGGAGGAAGAACCTGAGAGAAAGGGAGGAACGAGGGAGAAGAGTGGGAGCAGGGAGGATGAAAAGGAAGAAGATGAGTGAGGAGGGGAGGAAGGGGAAATTATGGCTGAGCAAGTGCAAGGGGGAGCCACAGGTGCGTTAGGAACCCATACCCCCAAGAGGCTCTATGATGTCTGTAAGTTCTTTGCACAATATTTTACTTAAATAACATCTTTCTGCCTGTCATTGATTCCTTTTATTTAGTTTTTGTCAGCTAAAAACTTGATTGGTTTTCCAACTTTTGTTGAAAGCAGAGCCTTAGAAACCACTGGACTTCCCAGATGTTTTACCCAGACACTTGGGGTCATTCCCTTTTCTTTTTCTAGGAAATTTACCAAAAACCACTACCCAGGTACATTTGTGATGTCTGTTGCTCTTCGTTTGAAGGCATATTTGCCAATACAGTTTTTTAAAGTTAAAAACTCACTACTGGGTATAAATGTTTTTGTCAGACCTTGTACAACCACAGATTGAAATCACTAAATTTATAGGATATGTTCTAAATAACCCACTTGTTGAATGCAGACCTCACTGTCAAGCCAGTCAGCCAAATTACAGTTAACCCTGTCCAAAAAAAGATCTGGAAGAATATGAACCATTGAAAAATGGCACACTGCTATGGATTTTTAGGGTTTGGCTGTGGTGCACCGCCCCCCCCTTGCAAAAACAAAAACAAAAACTGTGGCCATGCAGGAATGCTCAAAGGTGAAATGATTAGATTATGAGAGCTGTGACCTGATCAGTGGGTTAATCCAAGTGATAGAGTAATCATTTGAATGGCCTAATCTGGTGTTAACTAGGGCAGGTGGGCATGGCTAGAGGAAGTGGGTCTCTAGGGATGTGCCTTGGGGATTATATATCTTGTCCCTCTGCTTCCTTGTTGCCTGTCCTAAGCTGCTTTCCTTCCCCACACCCTTCTGCCATGATGTTCTGTCTCACCTTGGGCCCAGAGCTGTGGAGTTGGCTGACCGTAGACTGAACCTCTGAAACCATTAGCCCAGATAAACTTCTCCCTCTAAATTGTTTTTGTTAGGTATTTTGGTCACAGAGAGCAAAGCTGACTGTTACTTGGACGTGAGGTATCCCCCAAAAGTTCACATGTGAGACAGTGCAAGAACAAGAGGAGAAATGATTGGTTGAAAGAGTCTTAACCCAATCAGTGCCTTAATCCTCTGATAGGGATTAACTGAGTGGTAACTGGAGTAGTAGGGTGTGGCTTGGCGTGTATATTTGTGTCTGGCCAATGGAGTCTCTCTCTGCTTTTTGATCATCATGTGAGATGATTCCCTCTGCCACACTCTTCTACCATGATGTTCGGCCTCACCTAGAACACTGAGGAATGGATCTGGCCTTTTATGAACGAAGACCTCAGAAATTGTAAGCCCCCAAGTAAACCTTTCCTCCTTTACAGTTGTTCTGGTTGGGTCCTTTAGTCACAGCAGCGAAAAAGCTGACTAAAACACTAACAGGTTTGAGTGTGTCCCCTCTAGGAATCTGTGTTGCAATGTGACATTGTTGGGAAGAGAGGTGACCAGGCCTGGAGGGCACCTCCCTACTGGGCAGGATAAGGTACCCTTATAAGAGGTCTTCAGGGAGTCTGCCCCTTTGCCATTTTGCTCTCTGCCATGTGAGGAGAAGTATCCTCTTGCAAGTGGGACCCTTACCAGACAGGGAGCCTGCTGGTGCCTTGAGCTTGCACTTCTCAGCCCCAGAAGGGGAAGAAATAAATTTTAGTTTTTCGTAAATCACTCAGTCTCAGCTTGGTGTGGTGGTGCACTTCTGTAATCCAAATTACTTGGGAGGCTGAAGAGGGAGGATCACAAGTTTGAAGCCAGCCAGCTTCAACCACTTAAGCCCTGTCTCAAAATAAAAAGGATCGGGGCTATAGCTCAGTGGCAGAGCACCAGTGAGGTCCATCCCCAACGCTTCCCCCCATTTTATTTTAATAATGGACAAATTACAGAGTCAGGAATTGTATTGTAGCACAAAACACTAAGACAAGATGGTGCATCTTTTCAGATCCCCCTCCTCCTGTTGGTGAGGGGAGCCTGCCGCCCAGCAGACCACAGCCCCCATTTGCTGTAGTGACTGCTGCAGCATGGGTCAGCGCCTCAGGCAGGACCTGTCTTCCCAGGCCTTCTGCTTCCTTCCCAGGAAGTAGAGAGGGAGCCCCAGAAGCCAGCCTGCCCCCTCCAGAGCATGTCCTCCCAGCCCATCTCCTCTCCTGCTCCACCCTCCTGCTTCTGCACTCCTCCCCAGCTCCTAAGGCCTCACACCACGTGCACTGCAAGCAGCCACCTGCCTTACCTGCCCTGTGAGGACCCCCCACTCCTGGGCCACACTTTCTCATGCCCTAAGTGTCTGGGCAGGCTTTGTTTTTGGCACTGGAGCCTAAAGGTCTTGATGAGACTGAAGTGGCACTGCCACCAGAGGAGCCAGTCCTGCCCAGAGAAACAATGTGAGCAAAATGCAGCTGGGTATTATGTAACTCAATACATCAAAAATATCACTTAAACAAGTAGTATAGAATGATGGGTGCACTACTAGGAAGTTGATGTAGCAAGGCATGTCCAGCCAAAGGAGAGGAGACCCCCCCGGTGTGCCACACTGGGGATTTGAATCACAGCAGGGAGTGGGCAGGGATGGGGCAGCTGCCTGAGCAAGTGACCACAGTGTGCAAGACCTTTGCAGCAACAGGGGCTGTGTCTGGGGCTGCTCCTGCCACACGCCTGCCTCAGCCAGAGAAAGGCTGTGTGAGAGTCACCGTGTTCCAGCAGACTCCAGACAGGAGGTGTTGGCCCTGAGTCCCCACTAAAATCAATGAGTTCTTTAAAGACCTAGCTGGGCCTTCAAGAGCCAGCTGCGCCATCAGCACAGACTAAACACTTCTCTCTCCACAATGTTAGAATTTGCTGAATGGCAATGAATTCACACCTGCCATTCAGGGGCTGCCATTCACTGAACACCTGCAGGTCACCTGATAGGCAGGCAACTGCTGAATCTTTCATCCCATTCCAATATGAATTTCTAATATTGATTCTGCCGGTTATCGTGACGAATTCAGCTTCCTCACATGTTGAAGATTTACATCCCAAATGAAGGCTTTGTCCTCTGCAACCTTGTTATGGTGAGAGAATTCTCTTATCTTCATGGTATACCCTGACATGTTCCAGATGCTGCTCCATTTATTTAGTACTCATGTTTTCTGTTTCTCTCCTAGAAGCACTCATCCCCAGATGACTTTACGACTGTTCTTCCCCAACCAGACTTCAATCCGACCTGACTTCCAAAAGGGAACTGCTTGCCCCACACTGCCCCCTTCCAGCTTGAAGAAGCCAGAACAGTCGTTGTCCCTTTTCCTTACAGCAGTAAGGAGCTCCTAAAATCGGGTGGGGGTGTAGCCAGAATTAGACAGGCTGTCAGTATAGATGGGTAAATCGAGTCAGGTCAGATCACGGAAGCCAATTTTGAGTGAGTCTGGGAAGTTGGAGACTGTCCCCTGAAGGATTGAGATGTTAATTCTTTCAGAGCCCTTCCTCCACCCTTATCAAGAACTTCCCCCTGCTCCACTGTTGCCAAGGTAACGAGTCCCAGAAATTGCCCCTCCCTACAGGAAGCCATAAGGTTGTCCTTGACTGCTCCATCCTGCCCTTCCCCCTCAGCCCACCTGTTTCCCACCTTTTGGGCATCCCACCAGCATTTCCTAGGCTTACTCACATACTCAGAAGAAAGATAAGGGGAAGAGGGCAGGAGAAGAAAGGAAATCTAGGACATATAAAGAAGGCAGAACACGGGAGAAGTCTGTTACCGCTTTTTAAATAAACCCTACTTCACATGCTTGCCTAGGCGTGCATCGCTAATGTTCAAATTCACCCCACCCTAACCCCCTGATCTCTCAGTGACACCATTTACCCTGGGGTTAAAACATCTGTCTGGTCATCTCCACCCTGATCTTTTCACCTCTCCCTCTTATGGGGTGAGGACAGCCTGCCAGAGGCTTCACTCGGAGCTTGTCAGGGTGGGGAGACTTGTTTGTGTCTCAGGCCGTACTGCAGGGCTCCTTAGGTGTGCCTGCTGTTCTGCACCTCACGGGCCCACTCACGGCAGTTTCAAACTGGAGTTTTAAAAATGGAGTTGCTTAGGCTCAGGCCTAAGGCCATCCTCACAACAAGATGTAGGTCCATCCCCCAATTTTTTAGCTGCTTGCTTTAGGGTAGCTTCCTTCTTATTGGAGGCTAAAGTTTAGCTAAGTAATAACATAATGTCCTTCCAGGGGAAGTCAAACACCTGGCATAAAATCTGAAACATCCCAATATATTTATTTAGATCCTCCAGAAATCTCCCTGAGTTTATTCTTAACGTTGGGGGCCCCCTTGATTTCTCTTCCTCAGTGGGTGATTCCATAAGGCCTTCTCTCATGGTGGAGAGTGAGGTCAGGCCTGACAACACATGGAAACAAGGCACTTTCCTGATCATCTGTAATTTCCCAGTATGTCGACTAGTGGTCAGTCTACACACTGATTTGAGAGAGAAGCTCCTAAATGAGTGAAGGAAAATTCAGGTTTTCTCCTTTATCAGAGAAAACTGTTTATCCAATATATTAGGGACATCTCCCTAAACTTGAGCTTCATTATAGTCCAGAAAACCTGTCTCTCATCACCTGGCTTTGCCAAAGTTATTTCCGGCCTCCTTTGGGAAAGTGCTAGGGTCCCCGTTTGCCTGTGCCAGAGACCCTGGGAGGATTCAGACTTAAGGGCGTTACTGCTCTCCTCCCTGCCACTATAACTCCTGATTACGAAAACCCATGAAAAAAAGAAAATAATTGTATGTGTCTTAACCTTTTGTGTCTAATGCCGTCCTGTAGACTAAAGGGATCTCCAGAAGGTAAGGGGAACATCTATTGGTTGTTGGCGTATAACAGACACCCCTTTCCAGAGGAGTGTAGTGGAGGGTTAGTTAAATAGAGTGCCTCCCTCGTGCTGCGGCTTTTGTTTAAATATATTAAGTGCATCTGAGCACAGAAACAGTAATGGGAGATTTTAAACTGGCTGGTGAAGACTGGCTAAGTGAACAGAGGGAACTGGGTGTTTTCTTACTAATCATCCCATGTCTTTCTCTCAGTCTTACAATCTGAATTGCTGCTGTTTCTGATCTGCTAAGGAAGTAGAGCATTCAGGAGGGAATGGATGCAGGGGTGGGTTGCATGGCCCACAGGAGGCAAATGTAATTGGGGCTTTCCCTCAATGCCATTCATCTATCAATTACCCTAGATACCCCTTAGTGGGGTCAGGAGGGGATTCAAAAGAAGGAACCTTAGGATTTTCGCCTGAGTGTAGCTCAGGCTGGAAATTCCACAGTTGTTCCATACTCCTTCCTCCACCTCCACTCATCCAAGGCAGATAGGGACTAGGATATGTGTACTCACGCCAATTGCTCTCCAGACCTGGACAGAAGAGTAGGAAGTGGCTTCGGAAGAACCCAACATGCCTGCTCTGTATTGAACAGGTGATTGAGAGCTCCTAGGCCAGGAAACCTTTCACCTGACTCTTGAAGAGTGGTGGCTGCACTAACTGCATTTAAGTAGCCAACAGGTGCCCATCATTCCTCCAAAATGAAGGAGACAGAAAGATGCACCTCAAACAGATGTGGGGTGTGGGGAGAGGAGCCTACCTTGGTGTAGATCTCCATGGAACCTCCAAATATGATACCGCTGGTTATCATTGACCAGTTCTGCTCCCTCACATGTTGAAGTCTGAACATTAGAGAAGCACCCTGCTTCATATGCTTATTTAAAAAGGGTAACAGATTTCTCCATGAGGGAGAAGGGGGCCATAGCTGGTACCCAAGAGGTGAGGTGTTCTGCCCTTTTTATGTGTCCTAGGCTTGTTTTGTTCTTCTGCCTTCTTCCCCTTATCTTTCTCCTTCCTGAGTACAAGAGCAAGCCTAGGAAATGCTGGTGTGATGGCCAAAAGGTGGCCACGTGTCCATGTGCTCCTGATTCTATCACGTTGTGCCTTCTGGTTTTACTGGGCAGATGGTGGCGGTTTACTTGTACAAATAACGTACAGAGTCATTATACTTTGGCTCAGGTATTCAGCATAGAGTAAGTAGTTCATGACCAAATACAATTCTACAAAATGGAATAAATCAGGATTATGCACAGCCTGAGAACTGCTGTTCTGCACTTCACAGGCCCAATCAGGGCAGGCGCAGCCTGAGAGCTGCTGTTCTGCACCTCATGGGCCCACTCAGGGCAGGTGCAGCCTGAGAGCTGCTGTTTTGTACTTCACGGGCCCACTCAGGGAAGGCGTAGCCTGAGAACTGCTGTTCTGCACCTCACGGGCCCACTCACAGCAGGCCTGGCCTGAGAACTAGGAGGAAATATTTGCAAAAAGCTCATCTGAGGGCTGAGGTGTGGCTCAGAGGCAGAGCACTCGCCTAGCACCTGTGAGGCACTGGGTTTGATCCTCAGCAACACATAAAAATAAAATAAAGATATTTTATCCACCTAATTAAAAAGAAAAAGCTCATCTGATTGCAGAGCTGTTACCCAAAACACACACACAACTCCCAACTCAACTAAAAGAAAGCAAAATCAGCCTGATGAACAACAGGCTAAAGCCCTTAACAGACACTTCATAGACACCTCACGAAAAAGAGACATAGATAACAAACAGCATGTGCAACGGTGTTCTGCATCATGTCATTGAGGAAAAACAAATTAAAACAACACCACTGTATACCTCTCAGAAAGGCCCAATCAAGCCCTGACCATACCTGGAGAGGCTGTGCAGCAGCGGGAACTACTGACTGTTGCTATGGGAATGCAAAATGGTGCACACACACTTGTGACCCAAGATCAGCAGGCCAAGGCAAGAGGAACCCACAGTCAAGGCCAGTGGCAGCCTAGCCTATATGTCTCAAAATAAAACACAAATAGGGTTGGGGACTCAGCTCAGTGGTGGAGCACTTGCTTAGCATGTACAAGGCCCTGGGTTCTATCCCCAGCACTGCAAACAAACAAACAAACAAAAAAATCATACCCTTACTATACAAGCCAGCAGTCACCTTCCTTAATATTTACCCAAAGGAGCTGAAAATTTATGTCCACACAACCACAGGCACACAAATGTTTACAGCAGCTTTATTCGTGTTGCCCAAACTTGGAAGCTACCAGGAGACCTTTCAGTGACTGAATGTCATTCAGCACTAAAAAGAAATGGGCTAATAAGCTAGGAAAAGACAGAGGAAATGTAAATGCACATTGGTAGGTCACAGAATCCAGTCTGGAATCATGCATACCATCTGACGGCAAAGCCCAGTGTGGCCAGGGGCGGAGGACAAGAACAGGGGAGCACAGAGGGTCCTAGTACAGTGGTGCTGCTCGGCACCAGGCTGTGTGCAGAACCTGCCTCCCAGGCCGCCCAATGCAAGCATGGCCTCTGGTGGGATGTGTCCATGTGGGTGCTGGCCTCTTCAGCCAGAAGATCTTCTCGCAGCAGATGCTGGCTATGGAGGCTGTGCGTGTGTGGGAGCAGGACGCCTGCAATGTCTGCTCCTTGTCGCTCGCCTGGCATGCGTGCGGCCCGGATTCGATCCTCAGCACCACAGACCAACAAAGATGTTGTGTCCGCCAAGAACTAAAAAAATAAATGTTAAAAAAAAAATTCTCTCTCTCTCTCTTTAAAAAAAAAAAAAAAAAGAAGCATCTGCACCTACAGTGGGAACATTCAAACATAGGAGATATTCCCAGAAAATTCAAAAAATGACAAAATTGATAATTCTCTTCAAGATCCATTTGATAAACATTGGACAGCACAAATTTTAAAAATTCAAAAATTTAAAAAGAATGGGTGTTAAGAATCTCCCTACTCCAAAGGCACAAGGCGAGGCACACTGACGCCCGGGCCCACCAGATTCCCAAGAGAGATGATCACTGTGCCACCAAGCTGTTTCAGAGACCCCACCTGGGACCCATCTCCCGGGTTCTGCCTCACTGTGCCCAGGACAGATGCCCTCCCTGAGGACCACTGTCTTGAAGAGCCAAACACCCCCATGCCCGCTCACAAAAGTCACACACACCAGATGTGCACACACCTATGCATGTGTACACGTACACTCCTACACAAGTACACACTTGTACACACCCCAGAGCACATGTGTACCTGATCTGGAGGACAGGCCTCCTCACTGCCGTGCTCACTGCCTGGTATGCAGCAGGTACGTGTTTCAGACACTGCTGTGTGAGAGGAGCACTGGGCGGCATTTTGTGTATCTAGCGTGTGTTGTTCATGTATGTTGTGTAGTACATGTGCTATTTGTGACTTGTGTTTTGTGTAGTCCACATTTTGTGTTATGTGCATATTGTGTAATGTGGAGTGTTGTGGTATACCAAGTGTGTGCTGGCAGGTGTGGCATTATGTCTATTCTTTTGAGCGTGTGTTATATGTATTGCTGTGTTGTGTGTGTTGCACACTGTGTGCTGTGCTGTATCTGCTACTGTGGCATCTGTGTACTGGGTATGACTTGTGTACTGTGTGTTGTATGAGTACAGCAGTGTGTTGTATATATTGTATGCTGTATGTTATGTTGTGTAATTTTGTGCGAGTGTGGTCACAGTTCTCGGGAGACTCTGAACTTGGCTGTCCTGCACTGCAGGATGGCGGGAGCTGAGTGAGCACCTGTCTAGGGACAGCCCTGGCACTGCTGCCTGGCCTGTGGATCCTCAGTGGAGCTGCTGGGGAGGAGGTTAATTCTGGGGGAGGAGAAACCAGGCTGCGGGTCTTGGGAGGAGGCAGGACTCTGGGCAGAAGTCCTTCCTGCCGGCCTGGTGTCCTGGGC